AATAGAGTGAATACATCTCATTACACTGATTTACTGGTAGTCTCGAAACCCTACTCTAATACGAATATAAATGAAAGGTACTCTATCATGTTTCGTGTTGTGGCAATCGATGATACTACTCAATTTAGATATGAGTAGATTTTGAGACTACCAGCAATTGCTTGTCATTCTAGAGGCGTAGCAGAAGAGCGACTAGGATTTACCTGAACGTCTAGGTCCTGATAGCGAAAGGATCGTTGTGAAATGAGCCGAAGACCTATTCGTCCTCATGTCCGGGAGCCCTGACGTCCGGTGGCTGACGCCTGCGGGACAGGTAGAGGCTGGCCTCTTTGCGAATGTCCCTGTTGATGAGGCCGAAGATGAGTGGGTTGCAGCACGAGGCGACGGCATACAACATCGTGAGGAGGACATAGACGTCCGGAGGGACTCGTCTCGCCTGCGTCGGGTCCACAGGACGCGGCTGGCCTTCGGCCGACTCGGCGTCGAGCGTCGGACGCGCTTCATGACTGGGCCCAGAGTCGAACATGCGCACAATGCCGTAAGGCACGTAGCCGGCGAGAAAGAGAAGGAAAACGACGCCAAACATGACGGTGATGGTGAGCTCACGGGCAAGTCGACGCTTGTCCGAGGGATGATGGTTGGTGACGGCCGAGGCCGTCGAGGCCTGTTTCGGCCGGTCTGACGCGCCCTCCAGACAGACAGAAACCTTGGACAACGGCCGACCTGTGCGAGAAAACCGGTCGCCGTTGCCGTTGCCGTTGTCGTTGCCGTTGCCGTTGCCGTCCTTGTCGTACCGACGTTCACGACGGAGGCTGTGGTTGCTGTCACTGTCTACGGGGCCGGAAGTAGGTACGACGAGTCGATGCTGTCCGGCGTCGGACGGACCGAAGCCCTCCCGAGTCCGAGTCTGGCTGGGCAGGTGTGTGGGGGAGGAGGACAACGGCAGTGACGGCGACGGCGACGGCGACGGTGGCGGTGGCAACAGCCTGCGATCAGTGATCTGGTCTCGAGGCTGCATCTGGCGGGGATACCGTTTGGCCCAGTCGACCGCGTTGCTGCGCACGTGCCAGAAGACGAGACTGAAGGCGATCAGCACCATGAGGCAGGGCAATATGAGAGTTGTCAAGAGAACGGCGAGGATGCGTAAGCCCTGATCGCCGCCGTAGACGCACCGCAACAGACTCGGATCGTAGGC